TGATAAAACACGTACAGAAGTTCTTGGCGCATTTTCCATTATTTGTTGGACATTTTCTTTTAATTCTTCAGTCCGCTTTTTAGGTCGGCCGCTTCCTTCTTTTCTTGTTACACTGCCCGTTTCACGAAAAACATTAACACAACGCTGAACTGCACTTTGAAAAATTTTGTACTCAACAACGCCGGGAAATTGATTTTGAAATTCTATGAAACATTCCTCAATAGAATACTTCCATATTCCATCAATCTTGCGTCCATTTCTAAAGTAGGACTCTATGATAAACACTTTTTGTTCTTGAGAAAACACCATTTTAAAAAGCTTTTAAAACGAAAATATTCAAATTGATAGCGGCGATATAGCGCTTTGACAGATGACGTTTAAGTTCATTTGCTATACGCTACGCCCTACGTCCAAATATTCAGAACCAACTTGACCACGTTTTTATTTGAACGCTCGTTATTTGGCAGTCTGTAACTCCGTTGTTCTTCAACAAATCTTGATGATTATTTTTTAACTTAATGCTCTTTTCATAAACTTTCCGAATATGTAATAATATGTAACTATATCACGCGCGTGCGTCGTAAATTTAATTTTGCAACTAAGGCTAAAAAATAAAAAAAAAATTCAGGTTGTAAATTAGAAATTAAAAAAAAACCTATAGATATCAATGTATTATTATGTAATCTACCATGAAAAAATATCAGTGCTTTTGTGGAAGATCCTCGGGATCGTTCAGAATAATAATTAGTTAATTTGTTTACAAGGCCATAACTTGTAAACTATTCAACATACCGATTCCAGATTTCGTGTGAGTTATTAGACAATGATAAGGAATGAGAGGATGCGTTGCCAAAACGTTCTGGTAATAATAACGCAGTTTATAAATGTTTAATTTAAAAGTCATAAATAAACTTCTTCTGTTTATANGATGTAAGGAAAAATGTTCCTTGGAATACTTTCATTTGAAGAATCAGCACTTTCATTTCTATTATACCCTGTATTTGTTGTTAACCCACTCCCACCAACTTCACGGTGCATTTAGGAAACAAAAAACGCTCAAATACTTTATCCTTGCGGCGTATTCGTCGGCGGCAGGTATATAGAATTGATTTTCGACAATTTATTAGCATTATATTCCTACCTTCCTGGCTCAGTTGTCGTCGAGTTGTGCGAACAACTATTGCAACAATCGACCACCCACTTGGCATTAGTCAGTTCGTCAGCGACTGTCAATTAATTTCTAATTAATTACATTGGCCAAGCGTTTGCGAATTTCATATAATAGTCGCATCTAGTGTGCCGCAAAGTGTACCACATCGAAGGTCGGAAGTACCTAGTTGAAACAAGTTTACATAAAAAGAGGTGAGTTGTTATTTTTTTATGGTAAATTTAGGTTTAATTACGACAAACAGTTAGTTCACGAAAAAAAGTGAGATAATGTTACATACCTCTATTTTAAAATAGTGACATTAATGTGAGTTAATTACATACAGTGTGTTTGCGGATGGGCTACCACACTTTTTTATTGTTTATTTTTCGAAAAAAAGTTTGATAAAAAGTTTTGCTTTTCTTGGGAAGCCACGGGCAGTAATCAAATATGCAATAAATCATCCAACAAATTTGAAAATGTGACATTTTCCCTACGCAAGGTGCCTTTAATTTTTGTTTTCGTTAAAAACTGTATTTAACAAAGTTGTTCGAGAACTCAAGAAATGCTAAAAAAAAATAGTATACAACAAAATCTGTCCATTCAAACCAGTGTTTAATCATAAATTGCTTCATGGTGATGATGGTCGTCGTTTGGACTTTTGTTTAACAATGGGCGAGAAACTGATTGAAAACCGATTCTTTCGTAACAATATTTTATTTACTGTCGAATCAACATTCACAACTAATGGTGTGTTTCCTCCCAAAATTGTAGATACTGGGCTAAAGATAATCCAAATTTTGGATTGATAACTAACGGTAAAAAATCTAAAAAAGTAAATGTCTGGTGTAGCATAATGTATCATAAAATAATTATATATGAATCATTAGTTATTCCTGTTTTTGTTGAAAACGAAGTTTTTTGAAAACTAACAAAATTAAGAAAAGTTTTAGAATTAAATTCCCCATAAAATAAAGTAATAATTTTTTTTAAGTTTGTCAACGGGTTAAAATATTCTGTCAAATTTTATTGGTGCATCATCCCTTATCAACCCTTTAAAATGCTTCAATTGAACTCTATTTACTGTCGATCAATGCCCTTGGTACCCTCACACCGTGTACCAAACTTGTTTTTTTTAAGTTCAAGTATAAGAGTTAAGAAACTGAATAAAATCAAAAAATCTTATTTTTTACTTTTTTAAAATTGATTATTAACGATTTTTTGCATAAAATTTGTCTTTTAAATTTTTTAAATAAGCTATTTTAATAGGAAATTCAATTCTCTACAAAATTTTTCCTAAAAACCGAAATTTTGCTTCGTTTTCGTGTATTTAAAAAACTGCAAAAGTGCATTTTCAGCCTTATCTTCAATTTCAACCCTCTAATTTAATAGCACCCCTCGGTTTTTTCATTTTTAATAACCCTTCGAAGTCATGTGATGAAAATCCTTGAACGAATCCTTCCTTTTTTGCAAAAAATGAGAATTAAAACGTATAAGGGTAAATGCAACGAAAATCGAAAAATTGGCTAAGTTTGAGCGGCCTTATATCAGTCAATTCTCATCCAAAAATATTGTGCAACCTCTTTTTTTGAAGGAAATTTTATCTACTTTTTATATGAAGCAGTACCCAGCTAGCTTTACTAAAAAGAAAACTGGAGGCAAAAAAGCAAAAGAAATTATAAAATCGAATTGTTTGCTTTTTTCAAATTGTTTATTAACGATTTTTTGCATAAAATTTTCCTTTTAATTTTTTTAAATAAGCCATTTCGATGGGAAATCCAATTCTCTAAATAACGTTTCCTATGAACTATAGCGAAATTTTGTTCCTTTTCGAGCTACAATTAAAACACTGAAAGGGATGCATTTTCGCCCCTATCTCCAATTTGCACCCTTTAATTTAATAGCACTCCCCGGTTTTTTAATCTAAAATGACCCTTTGAACGATTTATGCAAGAAAATTGCTTGAGCGTCATATTCGTTTTACCCCTGTTTTTTGGATATAATCAATAGCCTATAGTGGGAGAAGGTCGGGAGATTAGGGGCAGTTGATATATAGGTGGACAATTTTGAATATTGTTGGTTATACAGGGTGAGTTTTTTTCGATGTTTAGTGTAGGGATCTGGGAAAGTAGCAGAGATACAAAAAAGTTTAAATGAGGAAAGATGTGCCGTTTTATGATCCTTATTAAATGTTACTTCTGTTTTTTGAAAAGCCGTCATGGCTGACTAGATATTTGGAAAAATCCGAATTTGGCCAGTTCCTTCAGATCCAAATCTTAAATTACAAAGTTCCACGTTTTGCAATATTAATAATAAGATAGTGTGATCAAATTGTTCGTGTGTACTTTCGTTTTCAAGTTATAACATAAACTTCAAGTTAAGAAAAAAAAAAAATTAAAATCGGAATACCTCGAACACATCCAGAAACTTTGCAAAATAGTGCATCAAAAAATTCAAATTGCAATTGTGCCAAAACTAACGGTTCAACAGCGCCTGCTTTGTACACATTTAAAGTACATATGATTCACTACTTTTGCGCACAGGGTCAGCTCTACAACTTAAAAAATTACGAAGTAATGAATTTTTTAAAAAAGCTAAATATTCCGATTTTTTCGGGTTTTTTTCGTTTCAAATTATCCGATCGGATCGATCGACTTCGCACTTAGTTTAGGTTTTATAAGCAAAAAACTAATAAAAAATGCGTTTTTTGCATAAAAATATTTTTCAAGAAATTAATTAATGGTAAATTGGAGTAGGAAACATATAAGCGTATATCTACAAACTGTCCTTTACATGATGATACAGTCCGTTTGCTACTATACTCCACGGCCGAAATTATAGAGAGTGATTCATACATAATATAGAAACACTATTACCGTAAAGTGTATAAAACTTAAAATGATTTTTATAACGGTTCAATATTATTTGCTTATGTGCCGCTCTCTTTGCACATCGATAGGATATATAACAGTCATAGACTGAGTTACACTGAACGCGATTTATTTCCTATCTCTGTCTATCGCACTTATTACAGATAGGGAAATGCTCTTTTTAGTGGGTGTAAACGGACGTATGTAGAATTCGAGTTAGCCGTAGTTAGAAACGTCAAACTATAAGCGCGCGCGAGGGTTTGCATATTCCGTGACTAGTTTTATAAATTAAAGAAATACAATAGGGACGTTTTAAAACGTAGGAATAATAATTAAAATGGATCAAAGTGCCGGTTGTAGCAAACGGTTTGTTGCTCATAAACGCCCTAACCTATGCGATGCGGAATTAATAATGGTAAAAAACGTGTATAAAGGAATTCGGTCGCGAAATTCTAATACAAGTGTAAGTGAAGCTGTTGATATGTGTAGTTCGTTGACAAAAGTATCCGTTGCTACTGTTTATCGTGCCATAAAAAATAGTGTAGAAGTGAATCCAAAGAAGAAAAAAGTGGAAACACGAGGGAGGAAGAAAATAGAAGTCGACGTTGACGTGAAATACTCCATACGTAGGAAAATTCATGGATTTTTCTTTAGAAATGAAATACCAACGATAAAGAAAATTCAAGCTGCAATAGCTGAAGATGAGGATATTCCTAATTTCTCTGATAAGGTTCTTAGAAGAATAATGCGTGACATGAATTTTCGATATTTGAAACGGAATCGGAATAGTATGCTCGTTGAAAAAGACGAAATTGTGGTATGGCGAAGAGAATACTTAGAAAAAATAAGAGAACTTCGTGCATCTGGTAAGAAGATATATTACATGGATGAAACATGGGTAAACGAAGGTCATACTGTATCAAAAGTTTGGCAGGATGGTAATGTTAAGAGTAAGAGACAAGCATTTTTAGATGGATTTTCTACTGGATTAAAGGCACCTTCTGGAAAAGGACGAAGATTGATTATAACACATATTGGAAGCGATACGGGATTTTTAGAAAATGGTTTGCATGTATTTGAGTCACGAAAAACGGGAGATTATCATGAAGATATGAACAGCGACGTGTTTGAAAAATGGTTTGAATATGTTTTATCATATCTGGAGCCAGGAGCAGTTGTTGTGATGGATAACGCACCTTATCATAGTAGAAGAGTTGAAATGTTACCGACATCAGCATGGAGAAAAGGAAATATTATGGACTGGTTACAATCGAAAAATATTGAATATACAGAAACCATGCTAAAAGTACAATTATTAAAAATTGTCCAAAGAGAAAAAGGTCAATACATTAAGTATGTAGTGGATGAGATGGCCAAAGATCGAGGAATTCGTGTACTCCGTTTACCGCCATACCACTGTGAATTAAACCCAATTGAGTTGGTTTGGGCACAAATAAAGAATGAAATCGCACGAAAAAACACCACCTTTAAAATAAACGACGTGAAATTATTATTACAGGATGCTATTAATCACGTCACTGCTGAAACATGGTGTAAGTGTATTGGACATGCACAGAAAGAGGAACAACGTATGTGGGATCTTGATACAACGGTAGAAGTGTTCATAGAACCAGTCATTATTCATTTGGGTGAAGATGATTCTAGTGATAGTGATAGCAACAGTGATATGTGAAATATATAATGTGAATAATGTGATATGTAAGTATTTAAATATATTAATAGTGAAGTGATTATGTGGCAGTGAAGTGAAAGTGTGACAGTGATAATATTCGTGAGATAATTATTATAAAATATGTAAGTACCTACTTAAATAAATATATTAATAGTAAACATTACAATATTTTGCGGCGGCGTAAGCCGGGTGGTGGTGGGTTATCGATGCCCAAGAGGGCATCGTTTTATAGAAAACACTTAAAATTTAAAAACAAAATGTTACTAAAATATTTTTGAAGTTTTCTCGATAAAACCTCTAAAAATAATAGATGTTATGTTTTATTATATTTTTTCCATATTTTCTACATCTTGTTGCCTTTTACGTATACACGCCTATGGATTTTCGATCCCCGCACGCCTCATCCTCCTTACTAGTCCAAGAGCTGGCGATGAATCACTCTCTATAATTTCGACCGTGGAGTATAGTATTTTTGTCACAAACAAAACCTCTATTGATTGGCCGAATAGCCACTAACTTGGCGGGAAAATTAAAAGCATAACCTGTAACTTTCCGCTTCAAAATTGATCAGAATTTTGTATCGACATTCCATTACCATATTTACAGTCTCTAATTATGTAAAAGGAAATGGAAAATCTATACAAATGACCACGTCGCGTACTTCATGTACATTATTAGTGCGATCATTATCAAAACGGATGTTTTCTACGAAATTACTTACAACAAAAAAATATAGAAATATACCTAAAGCTTAGTCATTCTTAATAACAAGATTAGAACGTTTAAATATTTAGCGACATTTTGTGGCAATTTCTGTGTAAGGCCGATACTTAATTTCTGTGAACTACGATTACGTGAGTAAGCTGTAATTGTAGTTACATGAATAACTTATGCGAAAATAAGACGTTGATAAGTGTGTTCTGATAAGGACGAGAAAGGCACATAGTGTGACACCGAAGGCCGTTGATTATTGAGAAGAAAAACACTTGTTCAGCTACTAGATACAGGGTGTCCCGTAAAGTATGTTACAAACTTTGGGTGGTGATAGTACATAAAAAAATATGACTAAAAACTCGAATAAACATAACCTCTTAAACGCACCATTTTGAAGTTACAGACCTTCAAATGTGGAACTATAAAAGTATTTTTATGATGTAACTCTTTGTTGGAAAAAAAAAACTTAATGAAATTTTCAGGGGCTAATCAGCTTTAGGAAATCAATAAATAATGCGGATATGAATAAAATCGAGAAAGCAGAAGGGTGTTTTTTTATCACCCTCTATACTATTTTTTGCCAAAAAAAATTTTTCTGCAAAGATACAGCAAATATCATAAGATTTTTAGAAAGACCATTGAATTTAGAAATTGTTTTGTCTCTTGTGTTTTTTATGTAAAATGTTTAATTTTCTAGTAAATTTACAAAATGCAGAGAGATGAGTGCTTCCGAATTATTTACATACATTTCTTAAGCCTAGTGAATTTTTAAGAATACAATCAATTTCCAATATAATTTTTTTAATTAAGTAACCAAAACAGAACTGAAACAAAATATGTTATTATAATAAATGTTCCTCCTTCTGCATCGATACATGCTGTCAGTCTCTTTATAAAGTTAAATCTGACTCTTTGGAATATGAATAGACTATTTATTATTAAATTAAAAATTTCTACAATTCACAACCTAAGTTGATCTTCTGTATCAACAGGGGTTGCATAAACTTGAGATTTCGCGTGTCCCCAAAGATAAAAATCGACAGGATTCAAGTCCGGTGATCGCGGTGGCCAGGCTATTGGTGCATTATATCCTCTTCCAATCCATCGATTAGGAAACCGCATATGTAGATACTCTCTAACATGAACACTGAAATGCGCAGGTGCCCCGTCATGGAGGTACCACATGTATTGTCTCAAATTTAAAGGAACATTTTCCATTAACTCAGGGAGATGGTTTTCTAGGAAGTTTAAATATTCTACTGCATCAAGCCTTTGAGGTAGAAAGAAAGGCCCGAGCAAATAGTCACCTATTATTCCAGCCCATACGTTGACTGAGAATCGGTGTTGGTGATGACTATCAATGGTAGCATGAGGATTTTCGTCTGACCATGCATGTGCATTGTGCAAGTTCAGTAAACCATCTCGTGTAAAGGTGGCTTCATCGGTAAATAAAATGGAGCTAATAAATTCCACATTATGTTGGTGATGGTTAAGTATTATTCGGCAGAATTCTAGGCGTCGGGGAAGATCTTCAGGCATTAAATGTTGCACTTTTTGGAGATGGTAGGCATAAAGGCCGTTTTCCTTCAAAACACGCCAAACTGACATTCTGGAAAGCTGTAACTGATTAGCTGCCCTTCGCACACTTTCTCCCGGATTTTGTTCAAAAGATCTCAAAATTTGTTCATCTTGCGCGGGTAGTCTTCTAGCAATTCTACCACAATGTATGTAACGGGGTACCACACTACCAGTTTCAATAATCCGTCTGTGAATCCGAGTAAATAATTGTGTAGACGGCTGACGTCTCTGCGGATAACGTTCTATGTATGTTCTTCGAGCAGCTGTTGCATTTCCATTACATAATCCATAAATAAAATGCATTTCGGCATATTCTTGATTAGTAAAACGATTGTTATCCGCCATTGTACTCACAAATTAATAATTCGTCAACAGACACGATTAAAATATGGTAACAAATGTCAACTATGTTAAAAGTGACAGGCGCCTACTTTTTGAATACGTCAAATTTAACACCTAGCGGTGAGTAAACTCCCTTTGCATTTTGTAAATTTATTAGAAAACTAATCATTTTACATAAAAAATGCAAGAGACAAAAAAATTTCTAAATTCAATGGTCTTTCTAAAAATCTTATGATATTTGCTGTATCTTTGCAGAAAAATTTTTTTTGGCAAAAAATAGGATACAGGGTGATAAAAAAACACCCTTCCGCTTTCTCAATTTTATTAATATCCACATTATTTATTGGCTTCCTAAAGCTGACTAGTCCCTGAAAATTTCATTATGTTTTCTTTTTCCAACAAAGAGTTACGTCACAAAAACTACTTTTGTAGTTGCACCTTTTAAGGCCTATAACTTCAAAACGGTGCGTTTAAGAGGTTATGTTTATTAGAGTTTTTAGTCATATTTTTTTATGTACTATCACCACCCAAAGTTTGTAACATACTTTACGGGACACCCTGTATAATAAAAAAGTTTTTGCTACACATTTGATTTACTGTGATTGTACAGGGTTAGTCACTACAATCTGACAACTTATTGTGAGTTTATTATTGAAATTACAAAAAAGTTTTTAATACAAAAATTTTAACATTTTTTTATGAATTTTTATAATACAGTTTTAGACAGACACAATTGAATAATAGAAATCACTAAATTAAAGGGAAAAAAATATTTTTTTTAATTGAACGCCCTATATTTTAGTGCAGAATTAGCTTCGTAAAATGTTTCTCTTTATAAAAATATATAATATGTTTAATGTTTAATGTTTAATTCAGGACTTTTCGACATATTTCAGTTTAAAACTATTTTTGAAAATATATAGGGTGTTCCATTAAAAAAATTATTTAATTTAGTGATTTGCATTATTCAATTGTTTATATTACATTTATATTGTTACATTTTGTTAACTTCAAACAGCTATAACTTTGTTAACTTAAATGGAACACCCTGTATTTTTTTATTCTGTCGTACGCAGATTGAAATTTCCTTTCAAGCCATATAAGCATTTTTCGGGTTGCCGTTACTACTTTTAGAGATATTTGCAATCTTCAATTTTTTGGGTAGTTTTTCTCGTATCAGACCTGTCGTCAAATTGGCCATGACCAGAAACACCGCAAAAACAATTGAAATAACATGACATTTGTCAAGTTAGTTGTCAAATTATTATTGCGTCTGAATAGTTTTGCCGAAAATTTAAATAAAAATGCCTGGGTATCGTTTAAATTATACTAATGAGGATTATTTTAATTTGTTTGTTATTTATGGAAAATGTGATACAGTAATTTCAAGAACATGTTGAGAATCGTTGATTTTTGGAAAATGTCACAAATTAATTTCAAGAACATGTAAGAATCTGTTGCTTTTTCCACCATATGTCAAAAAAATACATTGTTCCTTTTTTAAAAATATAATTTCCTGTTATATCTTAAAAGTGGCAATCTGACAACAAAGCGGTTGCTCTTATAAGATCGACCATGCCTTTTTACCATCGGATCATCGGATGTCAAATTTGACTTCAATCAGATAACACGAATGAATGTTACAGACAATTTATCAATAAAAAACACCCTGTATATTAGTGTTGTCGCCCTCAAAATTTGTACACTTCTAAAATTATACCTCTATTTACTACTATTTTAATTATTTTTTCAGTAAGTATCTAGGAGAACCTTTTCGGGTATTTTATTTTCGAACGAAATAAATATGCAACTTAATAATTCCTACATTTTTTTTTTCTAGCTTTACAGTAAATCATGGAGCGCTGGGTGGACAAAGTGGCAATCGTTACAGGAGCTAGCGCAGGCATTGGCGCTGCCATCAGCAAAGCTTTGGTAGAAAAAGGAATAATTGTAAGTAAAATGACTGTCCACCTACTCGTAAACACATTGGTGTGTGACGGACCTACTTTTGACGCAATATTGCTGTAATTGAAGATGTTGCTGTTGTGTTTGATATAAATTACTGCTGCTTTTCTTCTCGTTGTTGCTCTTGCTGCTGCTATTGTTATTGTTACATCTGCTACTGATGTCGCTGTTGTTGTCATTGTTGTTGTCGGTGCTGCTGCTGCTGTAGTTGTTGTTAATGTTATTCTTGATCTTGCTGCTGCTGTTGTTGTAGCTGTTGCTGTTGTTAGCTGCTGCTGCAGTCGTGGTTGCTGCTGCTTTTTTGTTGTTTTTATTGTTGCTGCTATTATTGTTGTTGCTGCTGAAACTGCTGTTGTCGTTGTTGTTGTTATTGATCATGTTGGTGTTACTGCTGTAGTAGTAGTTAGTAGTAGTAGTTGTTATTGACGTTGTTGCTGATGCTATTGTTGCTGTTATTGTTACTACTGTTGTTGTTGTTGTTGTTATGATTGACGTTGTTGCTGCTGCTATTGTCGTTGTTAGTGCTGTCGGTGCCGCCGCTACTGCTGTTGTTGCTGCTGTTGTTTTGGATTATGTTGTAGTTGTTGTCACTGTTGTTGTTGTTGGTGGTGGTGGTGTTGTTCCTCACATCATTCTTTACTATCAGACTACAAATTTTTGCCCTAAAATTTTGAAAAACAAGTGAAATACGACTAAAAAAAGAAATAGCATAAAAATGAATCCTTGATCGATATAAAATTCTGCACATTCTTGCTCAAATAACCATTTCCGCATCTCTTAAGATAACAAAGATACATGTATTGGTAAATTAGAAAGTTGTAACCTTGTACATGCCTTCAGTATCTGAACAACTGGTTTCTCTTCATTTAAGACTAAGTTCAACTTATAAAATCTAAAAAAAAAACATATGTTTGTTCAATACTTCTCAAATAAACCATTTTTCTTTCCTCGTCGCGTGTCTGTCAAAATTTGGGGATGTTTTACAGACGAAACCGTATGCACATAAAACGGAATCGATCAAACAAATAAAATATTTACAAGTTTCATAAATTGTGCACGCCCTTAGAAACAATTTTTGTTTTGTCCAGGTCGTGGGGCTAGCCAGAAGAATAGAGAAGATAGAAGAGCTATCCAATAATTTGGTGGATGCGCCGGGAAAACTATATGCAGTGCGCTGCGACGTGACTAAGGAGGATGATATTCTAAAAGCTTTCAAATGGGTGACCGACCATATTGGACCTGTGCATATTCTAGTCAACAATGCTGGTCTGACCAGGCCAACCCATCTTCTAGGTAAGACGAGAAAGCTGGTTATAATAGATCATAACTATAATTGTACTGGGAGAAAGGCAAATACACTGATTGTAAGAAATCATGATTTGATAAAAATTCACTTGCGTCAGCAAAAAAGCTGTATACAATAGAGGACAGATATGCAATTCAATTGCAGAAAAAAGTATGTCAATATATACAGGGTGGTCGCGATGTAATGGGCCAAAATTCATGACTAGTTTCCTGACGTGAAAATTTTGCGATTTAGACAAACTCACCTTAGTCCAAAAGTTGATACTTACAGAGATACAGGGTGTTTAATGCAAAATATTATTTTAGTTTTTTCTTATTTATTTCATAATAAATGCTCATATTGAGATGAAATTTTGGTGTTAGGGGTTTTCTGAGGCGAGAGATTGAAATCATAACATGGTTTGCTTGTAGCTCATAGAGAGCGCCACCTGCGCTAGGTCGAATGCGTTGAAAACGACAGAACTTTTTTATGTTTCAAAAATCTAATTATCAGGTAGCAAATTCTGATTTTACAACTTCTTTTACATAAAAATGCTATACTTTTTGATAGTCGCTACCTTGCACCGTTCTCAAGATATTTAGCTTTGGTAATTCGAGTAATCAAAATAAGGTACGAATGTCAAAAAGAACAAGAGTTTATTTCAAATTATAAATTGTGATGAACAATTGAATATCGAATATTATAATAAATGTTCAATATTCTTGTTACGAAATGATTCGGCGGCATTTACAATTTTCTGCCATAGCTCTTCGCGGGTGTTTATAGTTTTTATATAGACAACTGATTTCATGTAGCCCCAGAAACAAAAATCCATAGGATTAAAGTCAGGACTACGAGGAGGCCATAATATTCGACTCCCACGACCGATCCAACGATCCGGAAAAATGTGGTCAAGATAGTTCCGTACTCTGACAGAATAATGAGGGGGAGCTCCATCTTGCATGAAAAATAGATTTTGCCGTGTATTCAGTGGTAAATCGTCGAGGTAGTCAACTAAATGGTGCTGCAGGAAATCTAAATACAAGTCACCATTTAGATTTGGAGGAAGCTCATGTGGACCCAAAAGGTGATTTCCTATGATTCCGCACCAAACATTTATCTTAAATTCATGTTGGAAGTGACGCTCACTGACTACGTGAGGATTTTCATTATCCCATATGTGCTTGTTTCTAAAATTGAAAATTCCTCGACGAGTAAAGGTCGCTTCATCAGTGAATAGTACATTATCCAAAAATTCCTGGTCAAGGTTTTGCTGATTGCGCATAAAATGAGCAAATTGTAATCTAGCTGGTAAGTCTGCTGCTAAAAGATTTTGCACGGGTGTAAAATGGTAGGGATATAAATTTTCCTTGTGAAAGATTTTGAGAACTGTTGTTTTACTAACACCGGTTTCTCTAGCTACCTGCCTGCTGCTAACTTCTGGATTTCCTGCCACTCTTACTAAAATTTCTTCTTCTTGGTGAACTGTAACAGTACGCCCTGCGTTGTCTCTTTTAGGACGAAAACTACCAGTTTCTCCAAGTCTATTAAAAAGTTCTTGAAATAGTTTCCGATTTGGTTGCCTTCTATTCGGATACAACTCTGAATACCGACGAAGCGCTCGACGTCCAACATAATCTGATTGCGCATAAACGCAAACCATATCGCGCATTTCTCCATTTGAAAATAAATTATGGCGTGGCATGTTATCTCGCACTACGATTTAGATCATAAAGTAAAGAATACTTTTAATAAGGCACGAATAATACTGTAATATTACTGACAGCACTAAGATAAGTGGAAAATGTCAAAATTGGATTTTAACATAAGCCTACTTGAAAATTTTTGCCGATTTGTAATTGAATGCAAATACATTGGAATTTTCAATGGCAAATTTTACGAGAACGGTGCAAGATAGCGACTATCAAAAAGTATAGCTTTTTTGTGTAAAAGAAGTTGTAAAATCAGAATTTGCTACCTGAGAATTAGATTTTTGAAAGATAAAAAAGTTCTGTCGTTTTCAACGCATTCGACCTAGCGCAGGTGGCGCTCTCTATGAGCTACAAGCAAACCATGGATATATTTCAATCTCTCGCCCCAGAAAACCCCTAACACCAAAATTTCATCTCGATATGAGCATTTATTATGAAATAAATAAGAAAAAACTAAAATAAAATTTTGCATTAAACACCCTGTATCTCTGTAAGTATCAACTTTTGGACTAAGGTGAGTTTGTCTAAATCGCAATATTTTCACGTCAGGAATCTAGTCATGAATTTTGGCCCATTACATCGCGACCACCCTGTATATATATTTTTATTTATTTCTAATTAAAAAAAATACTTTTTTATTTATTATTTTTAATAATTTTTTATGGACATAGAAATCGAGGTTTCTTATGTAAAATTGCTTTAGCGCTGTCGCAAAAAAATTTCAAAGAAAACAGATTTTTCTGGAAAATATTAAAAAGCGCATAATTAATTCGTATGTAGAGGGTTTCTCATACTATATCGATTCGATAATATGGGCCTACTGTGAGGGTACAAAAAATTTAAATATAATTTGGGACGTGGTGTAAAATGGGATGAGATGATTTTGAATCGAAAGTATTATCTTTGGGTTTTGACAGAAACGACTAATGATTTTTACCAGAAACATGCCCAAATTTTTTGTCTGTTAAAAAGCTTTATTTTTTCTAATAAACTTTTATTAGATAAATTTTTCTGTATCACTTCCCATTTAAAAGTTATAAGCAATATCGCCCTAAAGAGTCTCCTAAGAAATACCACCTAGAAATCACATTAGCTGTGGAAGGATCAAGTAGCCGTTGGAAAATAATTGAATGTTCGTTATTTAAAGTGCATAAATGTCACAAAATACTTGTCATTACTCATGAACGTCAAACGTATAACTTTTGTGTTTACAAAATGTTTTCTCATTCAGACAAAGTTGATACGTTGTTAATTTATGGCGAGTCACAAAAATATTCATGAAGAGCTGTTGAGTTATATCCAGAAAGGTATCCAGAGCGCCTCATTCCTGGTCATAGAACCTTTGCAAGATTGGAGGCGACCTTGCGACGAAATGAAGATGCATTTTCTGTTTGAAAAAATCAAATAATTGACTGAAGGGTATGAAACAATGTTAATAAAACTAGACTGTTACAGATTTCGAACAAAATCCACACGAAACTCTATACGCCAGGCTAGCCGGGAATTGAATTTGGATAAATCGGCCGTTCAACGAATTTCAAAGACCAGTGAGTATCATGACTACAAAATTCACAATTTGGAGTATTTGCCTGAGCGTCACATTGAAAACAGACTTAATTTTATAGCTCAAATTGTAGTAAATATAGAAATTGTTGATCAGAACCTTTTTCGGTACGTTCTTTGGACGGACCAAAGTCGGTTTGTCAGTAATGACATGAAATTGAAAAACAGTATTGTATTGACCGTTGCTAGGCGGTTGCTAGGAAAACTGTACGATTTTTTTTACCAAGCTGTGCGATTTTTTTACCGTACGTAATATGAATCTTACATTGATCGCAGACGGTGTGTTTTTAAGTATTTACAGTAGTGGTCGTAGGTAAAATAATAAAATCATTTGGCATACCCGATGTTACAACAACAATTGTTCAAAATTATATCCACCAACGTGTAAACACATTTGGGTCCGTCGTCCACGAACTAACACAAATGCTGTCTTGTTTCACAATAACACAAATACTTCACCATAATACAAATGTTGTCTTGCTTCACCATAAATTAAAACGATATCTATCAACTCCGAGTTGCTATACACGCAAACCATTTTTGACACTAACTACCAAAAAAGTATTGTAAACACTACAGATAACAGGTAAACACTATCGCAACGACGATTGCAAAATCGGATTTCAGTATTCGGAGTCGCTGAGGCCCCGTGGCTCTCCACGCGTATTGCGAATGACGCTAGAGACTACAGTTGTCCAGCTATGTAGTGGTTGAATGTACTATAACTTCAATAATTTTTTTCTCGAAAACTGTAAGGATTTTACAAAAATTTTTTTTACGATATTGACTCCATTTCTCATGCAGCATCTATTCCCAAATTTTTTTGGATAAGTTGTGAATCACCCTGTATATGTAGTATGAAAGCGTTTGCCTCATTTTTTAAGTTTAGTTATTGTTTTCATCATCTTTTGTTTTAACTGTATTAAAGAATTATCGAGTTTAATTCTTCTATTTATTCTCAATGACATTTATGCGCTTTAAACAACGAGCATTCAATTATTTTCCAATGACTACTTGATCCTTCCACGGCTAATGTGATTTTCAAGTGGTATTTCTTTCGAGACTCTTTAGGTCGATATTGCTTATAACTTTTAAACGGGTGGTAATACAGAAAAATTTCTCTAATAAAAGTTTATTAGAAGAGAGTATTTAATAGGAAAAAAATGTGGGTATGTTTCTGGAAACATATAATTTATGACGTCATTAATCCTTACTTTCGATTAAAAATTGAGGTTACCCATACAATACCACGTGTCCCAAATTTTATTTAAATTTTTTGTATCCTCGCAGTAGGCCCGTACTATCGAGCTTGCGACACCCTGTGAATCCTCGAAAACCTATAAAGTGATACGATTGATGCTCATAAATATTCAAACCTCGGAAAACTGTACTTATAAGATTTTCCAAGAAATTTCCGCAATTTTCTTTCTTCTAATTCACTTTTGTTATTTAAAAATGAATTGACCACTATTTGGCTATTGGGAAAATTGAAATTTTTAGACGACGGTGAAATTCCTTANCGTGGCTCTCCACGCGTATTGCGAATGACGCTAGAGACTACAGTTGTCCAGCTATGTAGTGGTTGAATGTACTATAACTTCAATAATTTTTTTCTCGGAAACTATAAGGATTTTACAAATTTTTTTTTACTATATTTACTCCATTTCTCATGCCGCATCTATTCCCAATTTTTTTTTGGATAAGTTGTGAATCACCCTGTATATGCAGTATGAAAGCGTTTGCCTCATTTTTTAAGTTTAGTAATTGTTTTCATCACCTTTTGTTTTAACTGTATTAAAGAATTATCGAGTTTAATCCTTTTAATTATTCTCAATGACATTTATGCGCTTTAAACAACGAGCATTCAATTATTTTCCAATGAATACTTGATCCTTCCACGGCTCATGTGATTTTCAAGTGGTATTTCTTTTGAGACTGTTTAGGACGATATTGTTTATAACTTTTAAACGGGTGGTAATACAGAAAAATTTATCTAATAAAAGTTTATTAGAAAAAAGAGAGCTTTTAATAGGAAAAAAATGTGGGTATGTTTCTGGAAACATATATTTTATGACGTCATTAATCCTTCCTTTCGATTAAAAATTGAGCTTACCCGTATAATACCACGTGTCCCAAATTTTATTTAAATTTTTTGTATCCTCGCAGTAGGCCCGTACTATCGAGCTTGCGACACCCTGTGAACCCTCGAAAACCTATAAAGTGATACGATTGATGCTCATAAATATTCAAACCTTGGAAAACTGTACTTATAAGATTTTCCAAGAAATTTCCGCAATTTTCTTTCCTATAATTCACTTTAGTTATTTAAAAATGAATTGACCACTATTTGGCTATTGGGAAAATTGAAATTTTTAGACGACGGTGAAATTCCTTACCGCCAAACGCAAATATTTTTTTTACAAAAGTGCACGAACGCTTCCACAGATGGCGCTACTGACGAATGGCGGCGCATCTTCGAAGTCAACGTCCTGGCGCTGTGCATCTGCACCCGGGAGGCCGTGAAGATCATGAAGGAGAACGACATCGCGGGGCACATCGTCCACATGAACAGCGTGGCGGGCCACTACGTCCCAAACATGCCCAAGCCCAATTTCAACGTGTACCCCGCCTCCAAATTCGCTGTGACGGCCCTGACAGAGAGCTTGAGACAAGAATTGAGATACCACGAACTGGGAATTAAAGTTACTGTAAGTTTCCTCCGGTATGTATTAAAAACAGTGGCGGTTCGTGACCTTGTGAATAGGTGAGGCCTGTGGCTGTTTTATTATGTGGTCAATAAAGAAAAAAAAAGTATCACAGTCAAAATTTTTTAAATTTTTAATTTTAATTTTTAGTTCAGGTTTATTTTATTAACCTGCTCTTAAATAATCATAAATTAAAAAATTGAATATCATCAGAACATTAGAAATGTTATTTACAATAAATTTAACAGAAACAAAACAAAATGATATACAGGTGTTTCAGTTCGAGTGAATCCAACTTTAACTACAAATAGAACTCAATAAATAATTCAGAATAGCCTTATAAAGCAAGGGTCTAAGTCTTACCGTTTCCACTGTACAGGCTGGTCCATTTTCGGTGGGATTTCAGGATATCTCAGAAACTACTAAATATATGATAAATCTGACACCACGTGCTCGAGCTCGATTTTCATGGCAAACACGACTGTCAAATCAGAAATTTGCTATCTTCATTTGTTTCTGAGTTACAGGGCGTTCCTCGTTATTGTGACACTTTTGAACATGTCTGTAGCTCAGCTGTTAACTAAGGTAGAGTTAAAGTGAAAACTGCTCAAGACTAATTCTTTGGCGTAGAATTGAATGCCGGTATTAGATTTTTAGTATGTCTTAAGATTCCGGAGTTATGACCCAAAGTTATATTTTTGTAAATGGAAATCGTAGCTAGTCACGACCTAAAAAAATGGATATTTTTTTTTGCTTTTCAGCAATATATCACATGCTATAGTTATTTTTACAAACACAGGAGATACGGGGTGTTTTATATATAAATTCGATCCTTTTTACATTTTAATATGGCTGGTTATGAAAATACATACAAAACTATAATTCTTACTTTTACAAAACTCATATTTAGAGAGCGGACAATGTGTGTCTTTAACCCGAAGAATAGGTCAAATTTTGGTAGAGATGTGTACGCGTTCAAAAATGTATTGTGTATATACTATGCAAAATATAATTATTATTTATAGCAAATATATCGTATTATCCTCGCGAAGATTTGTACCCTTTATTTAAAATCCATAAATCATATGAACAGGTTAAATAACGAGAAAATAATTAAGTCAATTTAGTTCTAAAGAAATGAAATGACACTCGCGCTCGTCTCTAGTCCATCCGTCGACATCGATTGCGTTTATCGAATTCCTATTGGTCAGAATTCAAACTGCAGCCCTGTTATGAATGGAGCGTGAGCTGGACTACTCTATCATGTGCGGCGCCTGAGGATATTCGTTACATTGACTCCTAATTTCCAATTAAAAGAAAGACACTATTTTTAACCGAACTTTATTTAATAAATATGTAGTATACAATTTCTGATTTTCTAAATATTTTATAACGCCTAAAAATGTATGTACCGTGAAATTTTCGTGAATTATCACGTAAATTTCCGATGCATACCCGACACGCCACTGCGTCGTGGATAATGTATCTAGGTTTATGAATGACATATCTATGTTCAAGGTTAAAGACACAAATTGTCCGCTCTCTGCTCATATCTGTTGTAAAAATATGACATTTAATTAAAATATATATTACAGATAAGAAAAGACTTTTTTCAAATTTTTATTCCACTTCAACTCAAGTTACAATATTAAACGTAAATTAAACAATAGTAAATACCTACATCATCATCTAAATGTTCAAATTGCCGTCCCTCAACTGTTACACATTTCGCGCATCTTCTGGCAACGCTTCTAGTAAATGTATATTTGAAATATTATTAAAAGAATTTTCAACATTTCGTCGAAGTTCCTGGAAAAGGGATTTTAAATATAATATCTTTTAGAAAACCCCAAAGGAGAAAGTCCAACGGACTCAAATCAGGTTACCTAGCTGGCCATCTGATCGGTCCGTTTGTTCCTATACACCTATCTCCTAAAATTTCGTTAGTATTATGTTATCATAAGAGTATATGTTGTGCATTTAAAATAAACATCATATTTTTACAACAGATATGAGTTATGTAAAAGTAAGAATTATAGTTTTATATGTATTTTCATAGCCAGCCATATTAAAAAGGAAAAAAGAAGTAATTTATATATAAAACGCCCCATATCTTCTGTGTTTGTAAAAATAATTATAGTATGTGATATATTGCTAAAAAGCAAAAAAAAATATCTATTTTTTTTTAGGCCATGATCAGCTACGATTTCCATTTAAAAAAATATAACTTTGGGTCATAACTCCGAAATCTTAAGATCTACTAAAAATCTAATACCGGCATTCAAGTCTACGCCAAAGAATTAGTCTTGATAAGTTTTCACTTTACCTCTAACTTATTTAACAGCTGAGATACAGGCATGTTTAAAAATGTGACAATAACAAGGAACGCCCTGTAACTCAGAAACAAATGAAGATAGCAAATTTCTGATTTGACAGTCGAGTGTGCCATGAAAATCGATCTCGAGAACGTCGTGTCAGATTTATTGTATATTTAGTAGTTTCTGAAATACCCCGAATTCCCATCGAAAATTGACCAACCTGTACAGGGACGTATTGGTTGGTTTTTAAAATCATATTATTTATTAAATCTTTGCTATGCTTTAACAAATTGATTCAAATTTGGTGTGGTGTTACCATTTACATATGTGCATAATTGACTGTAAAATTTACAAATTTATGTAAGTCAGTGGCGTAAGAATGGGTAGTAAAGCGGGATTTTTTTACCCCAACTTCTACGCCAATGACCTAATAATCATTTGGGATTCATTGTTAGATTCTGAATTGTTTATCGAGTTCTATTTGTAGTTAAAGTTTGTTTCACTCAAACTGAAACATCCGTTTTGTTTCTGTTAATTTTATTGTAAATAACATTTCTAAAGTTCTGATGTTAAAATTTTTAATTTATGTTTGATTATTTAAGAGCAGGTTAATAAAATAAATCTGAACTAAAAATTAAAATTTAAAATTTAAAAAGTTTTGCCTGCGGCACTTGTATTTATAAACCTGTATTTACCTAATACCTAATTAAAAAAAATCCTACTTGGTTTAAGAATACACAGGGCCACACAATGAAATTGAGAGTTACCTTCTCTCAGCCCAATTGATTCACATGTTTTAGAGGTCACTGATCACGATCCCGGTATCCGTATAACCCCAACACGGCTGGATCAATGTCAAATGAAGGTCAAATTTCGTTTTTTGAATGAATTTTTGACCCCGGATTCCGAAAGAGCTTGAAATTTTACGTCCAAATACGTGTCAACCCGTTGATGAAAGTGACCTTTATTTGACCTTAATCTAGACGCGCTGGGGTCACGTGGACATTGGATTCGTGATCAACGGTCCAAAAAACGTAAAAGTCAACTGGTCCGAGATCCGACGTCTCGTTTCGAAGCGGAAATCTGAGCCGGTAGATTCAAATCTCACATTCGACCTTTAAATGACCTCCAGATAATCTCCAGAGGTCACTTTCACCACTAGGTCAACACGTATTTGGACGTAAAATTTCTAGCTGTTTCTGATTCCGGGGTCAAAAAAGTTATACCATTCAAAAAACGAAATTTGACCTTCATTTAACCTTAATCCAGACGTGCTAGGGTTATACGAATACAGCTGCTTCATACGACGAGCCGCCACTGATTAAAAATATGGATAGTTGGTCGCGTGGGCTTGCACAAAGAAAAAATTAGGGGAAGGCTAGTGTTTGCAACATTCTTGCAGAGTATTAGTCCGGGAGTGGTGGGAACCGAGTTTTCCGACGGTTTTCCCGACGACGGCACTAAAGAAGCAATCGACGCCTTACCTAGACTCAAGGCGGAAGACATCGCAGAGGGCGTGATGTACGTGCTGTCCACAGGTCCTGGCGTTCACGTGAGTGACATTTTTTTTAGTTGACTTACACTTCCTATTACACTGAAATAAACAATGACAAATAGCGTCATACGATCATTAATGGTATTAACCTGATAACAGGAGGTATACAGGCAGATGGTACTAAATAAAAATAATTTTTGGCTAAATATTGCAACAACTTTATGATTTATTAAATGACAAAGTACTTTTTTTTTAATTTTAGGTGCAAGAACTCACAATACGCCCCCTGGGAGAAATGTTCTAAGTTGCATGCCTTCAAAGAATCATACCAACACTCAACACCATAGGTACTGACGTCAACACGACGCCAATTTGCAAGATTTAAAAAATATGCACGCAATTTTGATGGAGTTCCCAGCATTTCAGTACCATTTTAAACAGCAATCAATTGTACACTATATGTATTTGTATGTTTTCAATCATACCAAACCAAATAGTAGTTATTTGGTATACAGGGTGTCTCATAATTCGCTGCTAACCCTGAACAGGCGGATTCTATGGTCAAAACTAAGTAAAAAAGTTCATATGAACATGGGTCCGGACATGCTTCCTAAGGGCACAGGGACCCATTGAAGAGGGAGGAATGGAAATCATTTTTTTGCAATATCTCTCAATCGCGTTGTGATAAATGAATGAAATTTGGTATACACAGCTAAATTTTGATGAGCAATTTGATGGACTAATCCATTTATTTCCACAAGGTCCATTGGGGTGGGTACGGGGGGGCCCTTGGTACTTTGCGTGTGTAACTTTTTCATCTTTGACTTTTTAACAAATTGGACAGCAAATTCCGTTTTCCCGAACTGTTTTACGTTAAAAAGGTACTCTTGTTTCAAATCGTTATCTTTAACGGTTTCTGAGAAAATCGCTCTTGAATTAATCCCACTTTGGTCAATTTCATAGTAATTTAAACAAAAAAAATTTTTTTGTTTAAATTTAATCTAATTTTAATAAAAAAATAATAATAAAAAATTAAATTAAATAAAAATTAATCCTTTAAATGGAAAAGAGAGGAAAGGAAAATTATTATTATTTTTTTTTGTTTAAATTACTATGAAATTGACCAAAGTGGGATTAATTCAAGAGCGATTTTCTCAGAAACCGTTAAAGATAACGATTTGAAACAAGAGTACCTTTTTAACGTAAAACAGTTCGGGAAAACGGAATTTGCTGTCCAATTTGTTAAAAAGTCAAAGATGAAAAAGTTACACACGCAAAGTACCAAGGGCCCCCCCGTACCCACCCCAATGGACCTTGTGGAAATAAATGGATTAGTCCATCAAATTGCTCATCAAAATTTAGCTGTGTATACCAAATTTCATTCATTTATCACAACGCGATTTGAGAGATATTGCAAAAAATGATTTCCATTCCTCCCTCTTCAATGGGTCCCTGTGCCCTTAGGAAGCATTTCCGGACCCATGTTCATATGAATTTTTTTACTTAGTTTTGATCATAGAATCGGCCTGTTCAGGGTTGGCAGCTAATTATGAGACACCCTGTATAAATAAAAATATTTTCTTAAAGCGTTTGAAATTTGACATGTTAGATAACACAGGCCGACAAGGTTTTAACCCAACAACACGAATATACTTTCCCAAAGCATTTTGGTGCGCTGAACGTGAATACGAAGCACAAATTTCTCAATTGGCTCTGGTTTTCGAGATATCATAACCTAAAAGTGCCCGCGATTTTTTTGACATATTTGAGGTTATGTTGCATGAAAGGTAATTTTTTGCTGAAACCGTTAATGGGGTCTTAAAGTAAACTTACTCTTTAAACGCACTTGGATTTTTCCCCATATCATTTATCGTCTTTGAGAAATCGCGTGTTGAAATTTAATAGTGTAACTTATTTCTCGATTTTTGAATATGCTCACAACACAGCACCACAAACCTTATGGGTTTATGGGCTTAGGGTTTTTGGACTTAAGGTTTATGAGTTCAGGGTTGAGCGTATTAGCTTCTTTTGCTTGTAAATACGAGTATATCTCCAGATTGATATAATGCCTAAAATAACGGCCATATATTGAATTATTAGATATTTTTTTAAGTTTATTGCAAAATTTGCCGTGATGGAGTATTTTAGAGTTTCGATTAATGATGCGACCCCAAAAATATGTACGATCCCTACTTCCGGACGCCAATGGATTTAGGTTTGTGTTGCTGTGTTGTCGGTACATTCAAAAATTGAGAAATAAGTCAAAGCTACTAAATTTCAGCATGTGATTTCTCAGATGAAAAATGATATCGGGATAAATCCAAATGCGTTTTAAAAAGTAAATACATTATTTTAAGATCCCATTAATGGTTTCAGCAAAAAATTTACATATCTATGAATCTATGTAACATAACCTCAAATATGTCAAAAAATCGCGATTTTGGCACATTTAGGTTAGGATATCTCGAAAACCAAAGCCAATTGAGTAATTTGGATCTCGGATTCGAATTCAGCGCAGCAAAATCCTTCGGAAAAGTATATTCTGGTTTATGGGTTAGAGGTCGGCCAAATTTTGTCGGCCTGTGTAATTTTACTTGTTAAAATAGTTTATGTGCCTCTATATCTAGATTATGTTGTAAATTTAATAAATGTACTTATATGAAAGTTAGCCGTAATTTTCCTTTAACCATTATTCCTTCAAAAAATAGTTGTTTATCACGTGGACCTAAACACTTTTTTAACACATTCATAATACACTAGTTCCTTTACAAAAATACACTAGTGTTAAATGACATCCATGAAATTATAAAATTAGGTATATTTTAATTAAAGCTTGCTCGGGGTAAATTTTAGAGAAGTCAATTGTACAGACCTACGGCAGACTTCACTATAGGTCCCCTGTGGACCCATCAAGGAATGCGATTGATCGTCGACTCTGATACCTTGCAACGGTCACAAAATTTAGTAATCATACAAAGCTCTTTATAAATTAAATCAAATTTATTATAAATCAATATCTTAAAAACAAATTCCAGTTTTCTATAATTCAAAAGATTGTTAAAAATTTTTACAAACTTTTTACCAGTGCATGGTTCCCAGCCTAGACCATATGTCCAGAGCTCCAACTATCACAGGCATTGTCTAATCTTGCGGTGTAGATCCCAAGGTATAAATTAAGCTCATAAAACCTTCAAAATTCATAGCTCTCACAATCAAAAGCTTTCAAATTTTCAAGCACTCAGAAGACCTCAAACCAGTTCTAGGGCAAAGATACATACATACACTAGAGTAGTCTAGTGCCTACAAAACAATTCAGCTCAACTAGCCCAAGTTGAAAGCCTCCAAAATCCGTGCCATCCTGATGGTGTACAAGAGTGGAAAAAGATTAAAATAAGTAAGAAGAAGAAGAAGAAACGAGAGTCCCATCACCGCAGCAATACATAGGGAGCTCGGTAAAAATGTTGGTTCTCCCCATATTGTAGGTAATTTCCGAAGGGAATGAAATAATGACTGTGAAAGATGACATGGCGCCCAACATAGGGCCTAAATGCACGAAACGCCAAGGGAATGTGGCGGAAGACGACAAGAAGTGATATGAATGTTGAAAGTGTGTATTGTTTACTACATTTTTTTTATTTTTTATTAATGATTAGACACGATCTGCTTGATGCCAAGGTAATTTTCACTACACAAGACGCTACCAAGGATATGGTAGTTTATTTGGTGATATCTTTCACAAACGGAATTGCAAACATTGTAAAACCATGATATATTATACAAAGGAGAGTATAAATTCTAAAAAAGCTGGAAATCGTTGTAGAAAACAATAAAGACAGATTTCACACACATAAACGCCACAAATATCACTTAAATCATGGAATGTCGATAAAAGCGTATACTGCATTACCCACAATTAGCAACTAGCGCCCTCGCTAGTGGTACAAACAACTGTAAGTTTATTCCAATTTTACAAACCATATAAACACTAAATAAATCCATTGATTATTGCATGACTTTGTGTGATGTATAAGAGTGTGAATTAACTTTGAGGGATTTACAACAGCACTTCTGTAACTATATTCATGTCAAAGTTCTGTCATTAGACTTTACTTTTTATTGTGTTATTTTGCTGAAGTGTAATAGTTATTTACACCATGAAGGAGGTAAGTATTATATACCAGCCGAGGACGATTTTGCGCCCGAGCGGAGCGAGAGCTGGCAATAGAGTAAATTATACTCAACTGCTGAGGGAAATTTCACGCTTTTTTATACACTATCAAGCAGGTACAACCAACCAGTCGACAAGAATACCCTTTCTATGATTCCTAATAGATTGCACAATTTTTGAAACTAGAACATCCTGAAACATATACAGGCCATTTATTCCGAAGAACATCGGCAACGTAACTGGCTAATACAGGAGTTGATGTATTAGCAATCAAGAGACATGATGGGTGGAAATTAGCCACAATTGCAGAAAGTTATGTTACTGACAGTTTAAGTAACAAAAATTAAATAGCCAACAGGATTCTTTACAATTACACTTCAACTCTAGGTTCTAGTAGTATGTCGCATGCTGTTTTAATGGATCAGTCAGATAATATTGAGTCTCCGGTGACTGAAATGGAGCAGTCAAATCATTTTGAGAAAAATGTGACAATTAGTAAAAGCGAGGGGAATAATTATTCAGATTTTATAAATGTTACTAAATGTAATAACTGTACAATTACTATAAATATTCATTCATAATGATTAATAAAATGTAATGTTCATCAAATATTTCTATTTATTTGTGCATAAAATATGCATTTATAACTCTAAATCGATTTTTTCCCCTAGGGAGGTAAGTTACCCCACTTACCTCCAGTTGTCCATAGCAACTTCCACTTTTACGGTAAAATCTACTTATCTCCTTAAAAACAATGTATTAATAGTCTATTTACTACAGGGTGTCCCATTTTAATGTCCCACCCCAAATATCTCGAAACCCGAGCAGAATGAGGAAAAATGTTTTAGAAAAAAGTTTTAGGGTTTGGAGGGGGACATACGAAGGTGACCTTGAAAATGACCTTGAAGTCGATTTTCAAGGTCAAACGAGGGTCAACTTCGATTTTTCAAATGAAAACCCCAATTTTTTATTGCAGGATCGTATTTTACGGAAAAAAATACAAACTTTTTGCAGGAAACTTTTTTTCGAAAATNATAAATAGTTTATGACAATAAAGGAATTTTTGTAGCAACAAGGGTGCCAGACCTGAACTGATCCCCTCGTCCCTTCATAATGTATAAAGAAATTATTCAATTTGTAAAACAAGCAATGATTTATTACTTTGCATCGAATATGATCGTACTATAGAGTAGTCAGTAAACTAGGCCAAGTTGAAAGCCTCCAAATCCGTTCCATCTCGTATGGGTCTAAGAGTGGAAAAAGACAAAAATAAATAAGAAGAAGAAGAAGAGGCGAGAGCCTCATCAGTCATCACCGCAGCAATAAATAGGAATCTTGGTAAAAATGTCGGTTCTCCCCATGTTGTAGGTAATTCCCGAAGGGAATGAAATAATGATGGTGAAAGATGACATGGCGCCCAATGTGGGGTCTACGCCAAAGGAATGTGGCGGAAGACGACAAGAAGTCATAATGAATGTTCCACATTACGAAAGCGTGTTACCTTTATCGGTAAATCCTTTATTACATTTTTTAATTTTTTCATTATCGATTAGACACGAGCAAGTACTTACTCTGCTTGATGCCAAGGTGTTATTACACAAGGCGCTACCGAAGATGTGGTAGTTTATGTGTTTATGTTTATGTTTATATATCTTTCACAAATAGAACTGCGAACATTGTAAAACCGTAATACATTATACAAAGGAGAACATAAATTCTGAAGAAACTGGAAATCGTTGTAGAAAACAATAAACACAGATTTCAGACACGGTGAATCATAAACGCCACAAAAAATATCTCTTAAATCATGGAATGTCGATAAAAGCGTATACTGCATTACCCACAATTAGCAACTAGCGCCCTCGCTAGTGGTACAAACAACTGTAAGTTTATTCCAATTTTACAAACCATATAAACACTAAATAAATCCATTGATTATTGCATGACTGTGGAATTGATAGGAGTGTGAATTAATTTTAAGAGATTTACAGTATATGGCGTAACTTATGCTATAATATACTCGTGTCAAAGCTCTGTTAGGCTTTACTGCGTATTTACTACCACTTACTATAGTGGGAGCAGATAAAAATACTTAAAAATAAACGCTGAAATTTACCCCGCCCGCCATATTCACCAGATATTACTCCGTCGGATTACTACTTGTTCCGATTCATGAAACATGGCCTGGCTAAGCAGTGTTTCCAATCTCACGAAGATGTGAAAAACTGGATCGATTGATGAATAGCATCAAAATATGGGATAAAAGTAGTGACTAGCGATGGAAAATACTTGAAAAATAATAATGTGCACAATAAAGCCCTGAATTTAAAAAAAAAATCCCACAAAACTAATCCACAGACCACTAGGTAAAATTTCACTTACCTCGAGTCGATCCTCATATCTACTCAGTCTCTCGTGAACTGTTCAAAAAAATGTTGGCTGGGTGAAAGTGGGAGAAAAATCAGTTAGAAGACTTAAAATCAAAATATATTTATTACTTTATTTTACAGGAGAACAATTTAATAAATACATATTTACGCAGAAAAAATAAATACAAAATTAATATATTCCTACGGAAAAGTAAAACTCGCCACACATCAGCTTGTTCGAAAAAATAATTCAAACAAAAATAAAACAGTTGCTACTTAAAACAATGTTAAACGACTACATAATTAAGTATTCTCAACACTGGGTATGCTTAAATACATATAAGTATTAAAAAAAAAACTTTCAAAAAATACAACAATAAAAATACTAAAAAATCAAAAAATACTCCACAAATATTAAAAATTTCACAAATCAATCGTATTGCGTTTGGCAAGTAACAGTTAAGTACTCCATATTGCATTGCAACAATTCCACCGATTGCTTTTTGAGCTTAATCTTAAAAAAATTACTACACTGGCATGTTTCTAGAAATTCTCTATGACACTACGAATCTTTTTTGCTTAGAACACTAGCTTGAGCGAACAGTACCGCGTCGTGAACTGTGGGAAACAAGAAGAACTTGTTCTCCTTCTTCTCTACCTTGTCGCATCTCATTATGACTTCGTACACTGGTCCTGGAACGAAGAAATCGTTTATGATCTTTATTTAGTTGTTAGTTATAATAGCGAGCGAAAAAAATGGAGGAGTAAGCATTCTACAAACCACAATTATTTATATTTCTATCCATATGGACTTTAATTGCACAAAAAAAACATTTTTACGATTACAATTACAATTTACAATTTTCTACAATTTGCTGCTCTCTTAAGTTTTTCGAAAGAAGCCTGATTTTCGAGTAAAATTTATAAAACCAATTGAATGCACTTTTACTTAAATGACATGACAAGCACTATTTATTCCGTTATTTATTCGAATAAAGAAATTAATAACATGAGTCATCATTTTGATGATTTTATTTGAGTAAATGCTCAAAAATATCTGCATTTCCACGAACACAGGCCCGACCGACATCTTTTTAGTAACGAAAATGTAATTTGTTCGACATTTATTGTTGCTTGAATCTGACGAAAAGCATTATTTATTTTTTCTTCTAACTGCTCAGAATGTCAAAGTTGCTATCGCAGCCCAATTTAAGTTTTACTCGAAAATCAGGCTTTTTCGAATGACATAAGAAAGACAAATCCGAAAATATCGTGGTTCTTGCCATAAAGCAATGGCGTACTATTTTATTTAGAAAACTATGCCACCAATACCCTGTATCTCCGCCACTGGACCATCTAAGTTTTAGACAATTTTGGACAATGTTGACATAAATACATATGCCCAATTTCAAATTATTTCACTTACTTACTAGTTTTTAAATTATTTAAAAAAATTAAAAATATTTCTTGAAGTTTAACACCCCGTATCTCCTTAACGAAGCGGACTAAATAAAAACTTTATAGGAAAGACCCCCTTAAAAATCACAAAAGAATAAAGGGTCTCATTTTTGGTCACCATTTGTGAATCACCCTGTATGGTCAAAAAGTATGAGAAAAACAACTTCTATAACCCCTTTTGTCCTGTTAATTAAAGATTTTTCCTCGCGACTTAAAGCGAACTCTTAAAAACGCTTTGCGTTAAGATCGAAACCTCCAAAGTTCTCTCAAAAGGAGACTTGCTTGCAATAGGGATGTTCACAAAAAATTATATTTTATTTAAACGTCAAAAAATGGATAAACATAGGCTTGTAATCACATCTGTAAAGTGCCAATATTCGCTTGAACGCGCAAAACGCTCTCTGACGTCACGATGCGGAATAGGCTCGCGTGAGAGCATTAGTGGTTAGGTTTTCATGTAATAGTCTGCCACATTCTGTTATTTGTGGTCCGTCAGACCTGCAATTACCGACATTGTCGTACCGTTGTGTCCTTCATTCTATAGTTTATACAAAAAATGGAAAAACCTTTTTAACTGCTGACGTTGCTATGGTTTCAGAATTTTTGGTTATGTGCAAAGTGCTGAATCTAGTGGTGCAAAAAAGGAACTAACAATTTTTTATATTTACTGATGCATTCGTATATCCAAAGACGAAACATCGCATTTTTCTACACATTTTAGCACTGTTTGAAGTTTCCATGGCAAAAAACTGGTAAAGATAAAAGTGATAAAACGATACTGAAAAACAGAATCTAACCTATAACACGTAAACGGGTTCCGCGACGTGACGTCACACGCGTTAGTCTCACTGCAGGTACCGTTTGCTAGCCTCGTTAATTTTCATGTAATTTCAAGGAACACCCTGTGTATCAATAATGACTTAACTAAGTGTGGCTATACATTTGACAATAACTATTTAATTTAAACAGGAACTTGAGGTTCAATTTGTGATTATTGAGGTTAGAGACACCTAAACTCAAATCAAAAGAATTTTTGCGAGATCTGTCAAATGGACAACTCTAACTCCTGACAGAAGAAAAGTCAATCAAACTGGCCATGTTAGAAGTGGTTGACGTCGCCACAAAATGAAGATTACTACACAAAACTTATTAATTCAGAGCTTTAGGGAACACTAGTTTAAAGCAAACCTTTTAGAAGCATTTTTCATTGTAACTTACCTGAACATCCTGCTATATACATCGATACACCCAGCTTGGCGTAGTCGCTCTGCATGGTGCGCAAAAAGTCAACCCCAGCCGGATCTACGAAGGTGAGGCAAGAGAAATCCAGTATTATGCACTTCGTGAGGAGCTCGTCTTGGTCCTCCAGGCCTTTGTCCGCCAGTTTGACCCTCTTCCTCAGCACCGCGGCGGCATNCGTCACGATGCGGAATAGGCTCGCGTGAGAGCATTAGTGGTTAGGTTTTCATGTAATAGTCTGCCACATTCTGTTATTTGTGGTCCGTCAGACCTGCAATTACCGACATTGTCGTACCGTTGTGTCCTTCATTCTATAGTTTATACAAAAAATGGAAAAACGTTTTTAACTGCTGACGTTGCTATGGTTTTAGAATTTTTGGTTATGTGCAAAGTGCTGAATCTAGTGGTGCAAAAAAGGAACTAACAATTTTTTATATTTACTGATGCATTCGTATATCCAAAGACGAAACATCGCATTTTTCTACACATTTTAGCACTGTTTGAAGTTTCCATTACGCCATGTCAAAAAACTGGTAAAGATAAAAGTGATAAAACGATACTGAAAAACAGAATCTAACCTATAACACGTAAACGGGTTCCGCGACGTGACGTCACACGCGTTAGTCTCACTGCAGGTACCGTTTGCTAGCCTCGTTAATTTTCATGTAATTTCAAGGAACACCCTGTGTATCAATAATGACTTAACTAAGTGTGGCTATACATTTGACAATAACTATTTAATTTAAACAGGAACTTGAGGTTCAATTTGTGATTATTGAGGTTAGAGACACCTAAACTCAAACCAAAAGAATTTTTGCGAGATCTGTCAAATGGACAACTCTAACTCCTGACAGAAGAAAAGTCAATCAAACTGGCCATGTTAGAAGTGGTTGACGTCGCCACAAAATGAAGATTACTACACAAAACTTATTAATTCAGAGCTTTAGGGAACACTAGTTTAAAGCAAACCTTTTAGAAGCATTTTTCATTGTAACTTACCTGAACATCCTGCTATATACATCGATACACCCAGCTTGGCGTAGTCGCTCTGCATGGTGCGCAAAAAGTCAACCCCAGCCGGATCTACGAAGGTGAGGCAAGAGAAATCCAGTATTATGCACTTCGTGAGGAGCTCGTCCTCGTCCTCCAAGCCTTTGTCGGTAAGTTTAACCCTCTTCCTCAGCACCGCGGCGGCATCTAGACCAGTTTTCCTTATCAACAGGTCTTTGAAACTATTCCTAGAGGCGAAACTCAAGCCTCCGGAGTAGTGGAAGATTTTCAGGCCTTCTATCTCTTGCGCCTGGAAGGTGATAAAGGGTGTTACGACTTTTGACGACAACAAAAAACGAGCTGACCCGCTAGCTTTACTACAAACTTGAGCAATGGAAAGTAGACATCATTACTAGAAAAAAATGGTTGCTCAAAACAGTTCCTGACTTTTTTGGGCAATGAATGGTTTAATCACAATTTTAAGTTATAGACCGATCAAAATATTTAACTCAGAGGGCAAAAAAAGAAAATTGTTACCTGGACATTTATAAGTGGAAATGGTAAAGGGGCTTATAATAAACGAAAAATAAATAAATGCGTGAGCAGGGGCGGCGGAGGGTTGATTTGGGGGGTTGAAAAGTTATGAAAAATTGTATCATTGGGATTTCTGGCGAAAGTTGACGTCAAACAAAAAAGAAGACGAAACGTCGGATTGCAAAAATATTGACGCCATTGGATAGTGCGAAAAAAGTGGCAATATAAATATGCAATTTATTTAAAATTCGTTTTCAAATAAAGCCAGAAAAAAAATTAAAACAATTTTGCAAATTTTCGAGTTTTTCCGGATTTTTAAAACTTTCTA